ACGAAAACAGAAAGTAGCCAAAAAAAAATTGAATAGTCACATTCGAACCAGACGGTAGTCACGTTGATGTTGCTGCTTCAGATCTGGAGAGTAAAAAAATAAGAAAAAAATTAAAAATAACGAAAGGAAGGTGGTGTGATATGTATGAGGCGACAACATGAGTTTTTTGGGAGGTTTGATACCGTAGCAAGTCTTGACGGCATTCGAACCAGACTGTAGCCAAAAAAAAATTGAATAGTCACATTCGAACCAGACTGTAGTCACGTTGATGTTGCTGCTTCAGATCTGGAGAGAAAAAAAAAAGGAAAAAAATCGAAAATAACGTAAGGAAGGTGGTGTGATGTGTAGGAGGCGACAACATGAGTTTTTTGGGAGGTTTGACACCGTAGCAAGTCTTGACGGCATTCGAACCAGACTGTGGCAAAAAAAAAAATCGAATAGTCACATTCGAACCAGATTGTAGTCACGTTGATGTTGCTGCTTCAGATCTGGAGAGAAAAAAAGAAAAAAATCGAAATGAGAGGTAACGAAAATTATGTGAGAGAACGAGAGGAGAGAGAGATAACGAAAGAGAGAAATCTGGAGATTTAAAGAGAGAATTAATGTAATCCTACAATCACGTGAGAGGTTATGGAAAATAAATATTGCAATTATTTTAAAAAACCTACCTATAAGGGTAGTTTTGGCTTATCACATTTATTGAGGGGGTTTCACTAATTAAGATTGAATTTTGGGTTTGTGCAAAAGTCTTAAAAGTCAAATGGGTTTTACTCATAATATTTTCCATTTGAGGGGGGTATTGCATATTTCCCCGTTTATATTATCTTATTTGTATATGTAAGAGAAGAAATATATTCTGATTCCGTGAGAATCTTTCTTATTGTCAGCTGAGATACCGTTTCCATCTAACTTTTATTTAATTAATTATTTTTTTTTCTTTTTGGCTCTTCATATGGTCTTATCCAATTAGGTGTTGAATGGAGACCTAATAAAATTAATAAAAGTAGCATATATATATATATATATATATATATATATATATATATATATATATATATATATATATATATATATATATATATATATATATATATATATATATATATATATATATATATATATATATATATATATATATATATATATATATATATATATATATATATATATATATATATATATATATATATATATATATATATATATATATATATATATATATATATATATATATACACTCGCTCCATCTCTTATATATATGTTTTTTATATAATACAAAGAGATAGACGAGATACATATAGTATGGAACATCGCACCCCTATAAAAAATAAACCCACTAATACCCGCGCAGAGATCTCTACTTGAGCTGTTGTTTATCTCCAATTCGCGCTGGAGCTAAAAAAGTCTAGATGATCAATGAAAAAAAAACAATATGGCACTCCACAAAATCACAGAACAGGATAGTTTTTTTTGTTTTCTTATATATTCGACGAAGAAAAAAAACAAAAATTTTTT